ATAGATAGGTGTGAATAGTAGAAGTGCGCACACGCTTCAAGGTTCGTGAAGACAGTCAGAGATATTTCAGGACCCCGCGTTTGAGTATGACGTGATACCATGCCAAATGACTTGCCATTATTCACAGCTTCAGAGGTCGGGGTGGGGGGAGGGGTTATTAAAGTGGCGTCAGATTAGCCCCCTAATTCACCTTGAAAATGATGCGAAAGTGGGGTAAGGAGTGGTTCCGAGGCTCCACCTGTGTCTAAAGACGGGTGCGCCAGACGAGCGCCGTCCTTCCTCAAGTTGGTTAGTTATGTTAAATGTGTTCCGATTTGTTCTCACCATGTATTCAAAAACAGTGGCCACTCATTTTCTTTAACCTCATTCAATTTGCTTGTACAACCATATCTAACCTCTTGTTTCGATTAGTGTTGCAAACGTATTTGGTTTTGGATAGAAACCGCAGTAGCCGTCAAAATTGAAGGTTTGTAATTAAGTTTTGTACATATATTTTGTTGTGAAGAGCAATTTTCACAGGGTTCACCTACTGTTTGAATATAAATTCGTTTTTTGGCAACCAACTGTTTTGGATTTGGTGGGTTTCCCCCAGGGTTTCGGGAACTCTGGAAATTCGTATCTTCATTACGTGCCACTCAGCGGATTTGACGTACCGAACTGGGGGTAGCTTAGCTAGACCTGAATCTAAAGTCCCAAGGAAAGACACACTGTCCAGGACCTTTACGCTCATTTTAGTATTCGTCCTGGTGCGAACTTGACAGAGGCAAAGGGCAATCACTAATTATTCGAACTTGTTACATACCCACGAATATGAGACCAAGAAAGAACACGATAGCGTAGCCGGATGAAATGGTATATTTGCGAGGTCAGGCCGAGATACCGATGCGTTTCAACTAACTGGCTAGAGGGACGGCTGTGAACAATGCAACGTAACACGGGAGCGCGCCAAATGGCGACGATGCTTGGCAGTGTTTCCGATTTAAGGAATTCCGTAACGCTATCAAGGTCAGCGCCAACGTTGAATCTCGTCAAACCCTAGACTATTGATTATGGAGAAGTGGGTAACGCCACACTGTCATTGTAGATGTAGTATATGGGCTAGATAGACCCGGAAAAATCGGCTTTCATGTAGGCGGTTGTTCAGTAACCTATTATTGGGAGGAAAGCCCAGTAATCCGGGAGCAATAATATTATCTAGGAAGCGGCGCTCTCTTAGCGCACTGCAGTTTAGTGGGCTACCTCGTATATTACCGTCCTTATCGTAGTCCATGTGTCCCACTAAGTTGCGATCATACAGGCCAGACAAGTACGGTAGGCCGTAAGTACTCCGGCAATAGACACTGGCATTTGGCGTGTACGAGTAATGGCGTACTCGAGAAAAGCGACTTAGCGGATAGTGTGCAATAGGTTCATATATGTGTGGTCCGGGATATGCATACGGAAAACCACCTATTGAGTAATTTGGATCTCCAAACATAGACTTGGACCCACTTGATATCTGATACTGGGATACTGGGTTTTCACCGTTAACGATGGCCTTCCCGGCATATCAGGAAGAGAACTAGATTGGTCTGAATCAATAGTTTTATCACCACTGCGTAAGAAGCCAGCAGCGGGAGTAATAGTTGTCAGCGAAATGATTTGAGGCAGGCTTGTTTAGGTACCCAAGGCATTTAGGCGATCGGTAGCCGTAGAACGGCCGTTTTCGGGTGATATGGGTTGTTAGCCCATAGTATTTTTAGTAGGTTCGTCGTTGGTCAGCAGTCTTTTCTGATACCATCCTAACCTTCCTAAGTTTGGAGGTGAAAATGATGTCACAAGAACTGATAAACTTGGTGGCCGTTCGTTTTCCGTCGGGACGAAGCAGAGCTGGGCAGTAGTATTTCTAGTGTTTTTCCGAGGGCCTAAAATACCTGCACTGGATACCTGACGTTAGCAGCTTTAAGAAGTGTTTTTTACGGTACTTGTAGGCATATTCTGCGGCATTGTGTGCAATCACCTCCCCGCCTGCTGCTATGCGCTTTCTGGCTCCGGAAGAGATGCGACTGTTCGCATTATCCACTTTTGGCAAGGCATCAGGTTTGGTCTGGAGTTTGGTTCCAGCATCTGCGAGGGTCGTGTCAAACGTTTTTGGCTGTAAGTCCTAAAGGTGCAATTTCCTGCATATCTTGTACTATATCAGTTGTGTTGACGGGAATTGCCTCGGCCAGGAGGATCTTGGAGCGGAGTTTGCTCACTTGCAGCCCCGAACCTCGGATTGTTCCTTTAAGCTCGGAAACAGTTGGCCGTTCCCTATCGAGAATTTCCAGTTTAAATTCAACTGTCCATATAACACCTGGTAGATCAATCACAGCTTTCATCTGTGCACTAAGGCTATCTGTGGTTGCCTTAAGACAGATAATCCTCATTTACTGGGCCTATCGTCGGCTGCTTGTCAAAACATTCATCAGTTTTAACATCAGTATTGTGACTAGTTTTGCATCCATATAATTGTTGCTAGGAGCCATATTGGTTTCATTCGATAACGAAGGTAGGTCACGAGCAGTTCTCGCAATGTGGATTTCGCTGGAGCTTCTACGGGCTCACTTTTTGAGTTTCGACCCATGGTTTGGGGGCACGTCTTTCCGTCAGGTGGGATCCGAGAACCACGGTCAGTTGAATATGGTTAGTGGCAAGGGGAAGATTCTTTCTGGTGACGAGTTATGAATGTCTGTGCGACAGCTTGCTTAGGCCACAAAGACGCTTAAATGCTAGGCATTAAGAAGCTGTGCGCCGTGTGAACAAGTTTGGCGAAAGTGTAAAACAACAGTGAAGAACAGTAAAGCAGTAAACTTAGAATAACTATGAGGGTGTAACGCAAGTTGTGAACGTAACGCGCGATGTTTTGCTGTGTGGAACAATATCTTGTGGACATCCCCCACAATTTGGGAATACATTGCCTATCGGGCAACCGACCGTTCCGAACTTGGAAACTTCTGAAATTAATATCCTCGTTACCAGCCAAACGGATGTTTTGTCCATAACACTGAGTGATAGTACCTTTCTTCAACTACCTTGTGGGTTTTAGGCGGATCACAACCACTGGGCAGTTTGGACCCGAAGCTCGGTAATTTTGGTAATGATATGCTTTGGAGGTTAGGCTTGCTTGGGATCACTTCACACTCAGGCAACAATGCCTTTCCAAGACTGAGGCATGCAGCAGTGTAAGCTATTTTAACTGTTAAGGTATATGCACCCAGCAGGGGTGCCAGGTGAAACGCAGCTCTGCCCACGATCACGTTTTGGAAGGACCAATGTTAGCTACTAAAATTTGTCTACCGATCCTGTAGCACCCAACTGTTAGGCTAAATGAGAAACAGCAAAGTGATAGAAAATGCATTGTCCAGTGATGCCTGATTTCAGCCCTGTCGCTTTGACGGGTACAACATAGAGATATACACTCTGAGCTCGCAGTTCCTGTGACAAACGATTCACTTTCACGAAATATGCGTTGCCACGGACGCCTGTGGGAGGCGTATACCTTCTCTTATCGGTGTTGCTGTTATTACTTCTACTTAGAGGGAAATCTATTTCGGTGTATCCCCTCTTTGAAAACAAAGAACGAAGACATGTGTTACCTTGCAATTGACTCCATTTATCATTGCAATTCAAATACTTCTCATGGTCAGCTGTTCATGTGCTTTCATCCGTACCGAAAGCAAGTCGTTACAACAACAGGAGGAAGAATTAAGTAGCACGCTCGAGTTTAACGTTGTAAATCTGCCCTTGAAGTTCGCGGACCTGTAAAATGGGCAAAGCCCAAGTAGACGGATAGTAATGAAGATCATCTAGGAACCAAAATAATCCAAAATTTGGAATTGGATAGTTGATCAAAGAGTGCTAGAATATATACAATCTCATCCTTCCAAAGTGTCCAGTTCCTTGTACTCAAGCTCGTATGTTGTCTCCTGACAAGTTTGCCGAACCTCATACCTGATTCCAGTTTTTGCGTGCAGTCTCGAGATACTAGCGCCTTTCTTATTACCTCAATCACTGCCGATTCATCTGAGCCATACGGCGTAAAAACAGGAGATGATGTGAAGCACAAGTTGCGATTTAGTGTTAGTGATAATAAACTAATTAAGAATCAGCAGGAAGCAGATGGAATGTTCTGGATCAGTACAGTTAAACCGTACAACCAACTGCAACATAATTGTATATTGGTACATACTGATCAAGAGTTACATGACCCTTACCCATTAGATAGATCATCATCGACTTGCATCAAGGTAAACAGAAGAAGAAGGGTCATTATCAGCCATGACTTGAAAGCGACAGCTCACTGTTTCGTGCAAAGGCATTTCACATGCTTTGGTCACTCCGTAGGTCTCTGAAGTGTCTGGATGAAAAGTGTTTTAGATGCCTTATTCTATTTAAGCAAGACCTCATCCAGAATACTGCGTACAGGTAGCTGGTCCTTGATTCGAGCGACAGACAGACACTTAAGAATGTTTAAGAAGGGAGGTTTCAAAGTTAGTAACACGGCTTTCGCATCTTTCCTCTGAAGAGTAGCTGGAAAGCCAGAGTCTTTCCCTACTGTCATATGGTAGGAAAATGGAAGATGCCATACTAGCATACTTGGTTGTTGACCTCTCTTCTCTTGTAACTCCTTTGAAGACTGATCATCTAGGAGGTGACAGTAATGACGCCCAAAAGCCATGGTCGGATAGACAGAAGGTGGAATCCATATTCTGACGCCGATACGTCAGCGACTAGGACTTGTTACCAGAATTTGTGGTAGCTGCTTTTTCGGTCTACGCTTTTAAAAAGAAAATGGGTTATCACTGAGATTTCTAATACCATGATTAGTACTGGCTACTTGGATTACCATCCTTAAACCTAAAGTTGAACTAAAACTGTTGAATTACACACGAAGTTGAACACCATTATCAATATTTGTTTCAAGGACCGTCGAAATAAACATATTTCAATGCATAGAATGAAGATATGTTACTCTCCTTGAAACCAAGGAGGCAGGTTAGAATTCCAAAGGTTATTCGGTGGGGGTTTCGGTCTTCATGAACGGAGGGGATGTCCTTGATAACGATTGATAGGTCGCTTATAGCGCCAGAAAATGTAAGTTAATTTTTGTTTGCAAGCAGCAACAACAGGATTGTGATGACTCATACGATGGTGATAAGTTCGAGTCTTCATCCAAAAGCAGGTAATGAAATGTTTTTATTCTTCACTCTGCAGTCAAAGCGAAGACTTCATGATGTGCAAGGGAACAGCTGTTGGATTGAATATTCACTCTAGAAGAAGGTCCAGTTCCATCAAAGCCAACGGTATTTGACCTTTTTTCTTTTATTCCCACAGATGAAATTCAGGATCATTTGAAAAGAATCATTGCTTTGCTTAGGTTTGGAGACTATATTCAACTGGTTGTTGCTTATCGAATTCTGACCTTTCTTTAAGATTGTCAAGCTTCAGAGTTCCAGTCCTAAGCCTCATCAGCACAGATATTGCTGCATAATATCCACTTATGGAAAGCAGGAAACTGAAGAATCTTCTGTTTTGGGTGTAGATATAACCGAAGGACGAGCTACTATTGGCTTGGTTCTGCCGATATGGCAAGACATGTCAATTAATTTGTGTGGCGATGGGTCAGTGCATTGTTTTCTTTGGTTTATTCTAAGCATTCACACAAAACTTACTTATGCTGATTACTTGTTAGTTTATAAAACGCTATCATACTTTCGTACGGACCAGCTACGTAAAGATGTGGGTCACAGTAACTACCTTAAACCGTTGCTGTAAGTTAGCTTGGAAAAACTGGTATTAATGGGAATCAGTAATCCTGCCTCTGATATTTCACTGCAAACAATGCATTTCCAAGGCCCGGCGCTACGCAATTATGTCACGAGACTACTACATGTTTAAATATTTTTTAACAAAAGCTGGATGTGATATTTTGTGAATAATTCACCAGGTAGATCGAAGTAACCAAGATCATTCAGCTGATTTGTAAGATTCTCGCCTCTGAATATAATTGAAAGTTACTTATTGTTCATTAAAATACATTTTGCGATCTAGGAGTCCATTGCTGTATGACGTTTAAAACTAGTATACAACATAGAAGTGACGTGACCAACTTTTACTTGAGAACCTTAGGACCTGAAGTTTGTAAAAGTGAGAATCAAAAACTTTTTTTCGTTCTTTTCATCCCCAGAGACTGCAAAGTTTTTTCCAATAATGAGTAAAGCAATTCAAAATCCGTCCTGATTGGTGTTTTATTAGTAGTAGTAGGTGAGAATGCTAATAGCTTAAGAGTCACGGTCTCGGTAATCTACCACAGTTTACAAAATCAGACTTAGCCTTTTGACTTGGTGTCATAGGGTTAGACCTAGCAGGTTAATTTGGCTTTTAAAGCCTTAAATTTGGGAGTAAGAAAATAGTAAAGTTCCGGTAAATAATTGAGAATTAGGACTGCTTCTAAGTATTTGGACACATAAGAACGTTGAACTTACTGTGAGCTCTTCATTTCTGGTTGCTTTCACTTCGGAAAATGCACACACATGCAAAAACCCTGTATACTTTGCAACTGTTGTAGGTCAACTACATATGACTTCTCTATTCCCAGACTACCCAAGCTCATTGAACAAGTCACCATAAAAATAGCAAATTGTGTAAATTGACATTAGGAATTCTGTTACTCCCCCCCCTGACTTAATATTGAACATGTTAAAGGGCTTTCTTATGATAAGTTAGTTGTAATCTAACTTACCTGATGACAAAGCTTTAGACCTCATTAGTGAGTTGAGCAGACTAAATTCTTGAGACAAACATGAGTTTACCCAATATTGGACTGTATTCCTGCTGATTAACACCTGACACCTACAAAAACCCCTGAAAATATTAAAAGTCATAAAACTGAGGGGTTTTAAACAGGATATTATATGCCTTCTTTGTAAGGGCTCTTGAAAGTTGCTAACCACCTAATAGATATTAGCTTAACTGAAAACATCCTGAGGACATAGCCCGTGCATTAAAACCATGATAATCTAAGTATTATAAGTATATGGAGAATAATGAGTTGGCTACTAAATTTAACACTCGTGATCAATGCTTTAGACATAATTACCATAACTTCTAACCCACGAGTTTGTGAACCACGTTGGTTGGTTGTGAAACGATTTATACGTTTGCAAAAAACTTTTACGATGACAACATATAATGACTTTATTCTCTACAAATACTGATGTCTTAGTCTTCTTGTCTTTCAAATGCTTGCCTAGAAAATCCTAGTTTTGCTTTACGTTGATTACCTTCATACGATTCAGTAAGGTTAACTACCAGTAACAGGATCAAATCGAACAATTCTTGATGAGACAGTCAAGTTAAAAAGAGGATGAAAAATACTAAAATTAACTAAAAAGAAATGAATTAATAGCGGATACATGTGTTTTGTGATTTCGATCACCATAATCAATTTTGTTGCATGACGTTTGGACGCCTAAGAGTAATAAAACATTTCTGCTTATTCCGTTCTGCGTAGGTTTGTAATGTCCCAAAAGAAACTAGCCTAGTTCTTAACTGAGTTGACGAAAATTCTATTGGAACAACCTAAATTCTAATCAAGAATCTGATGTCGAAACTGGTTTCGAGGCCCAGAGGAACCAAGATTTCATGTCTAACGTCATAACTCACAGTCTGTATTAGCGTTTTATGTCTCAGTGTAGTGCCTTCGGTCGTATTTTAGTTCTTTTGAATCTGTATCTTTAAATTGATTCGATGGATGCCTAGAAGTCTTTACTAGAAACATGAGAACTATCGTTTGGTTAGTGTTTCAATCTGAGTTTTCCTGTATATTATGGGTCACTTCAAAACTATTTGTACGATGTCTCTTGGAGCTCCAAACTCTACTTTTGCAGCTTGAAAATTCAGACTAATTTACTCAACCAAAAACATTTGTGAACAGTGGTTAATGTTGTCTTAACTTTCAATGGCAGATATCAGTATGAGACTAAAGTGGGAAAGTGTGTGACTGAAAAAAGATAAAACTCAAATTTTCTGCTAATGGGTTAATAGAACTTTGCCGGGAACCGTGATTTGTGGTTAATTGTTTAATCATTTGTCGAGTAAACGAGTCAAAATAACCGTTCATATCCCAAGTTTTTATAAATGTGCACTGAACTTAAATCAGAGAGAAAACCCCCTACTTGTGTTTTAACATGTTCTTGGTGCATAGGAATTGTGTCGTATTATCCCTAATCCTCACACTGGATATGGTTTTTAATCCATATTACTTAGTAATAAAAGTTTATCAAGCTGTGTTCAAACTACTTTGCGATATACTCATAATATTGTACCAGATTCTATGCAGTTTCTATCTACTCAAGGTTTCACGGGTATTTTATCATAGTGTTCATAATCTTAGTAGTTGTTCTACCGAACAGATTCCTAAGCGATGAGACATTTGACTTTAAATCTGTTATAACATACATGTGACATTCGGAAATTTGTTATAAACATCTTTCTTGCTGAATGTTAAGCCTCGTACCTCAGTTTTATCTCCTGTTATGAACCCTAACGCCTGACGAGAGTATAAATCTAGGCTAACATCATGTAGTCAAGGTACCCATGTATGCAAAAGTTTGTTGCATATTAATGCGAAAATCGGTGTTAAATGTTTGGTATCAGTTGACAGACGTCTATGGACTTAAAGTCTTTCTGATACATGTTAGCAAAGGTGTAACTGTTGTCGTAAGGATAGTCATAGTTCTTTGTGAATTTTAAGCTGCGATACGCAAGTTTATGGAGTTATTTAGATTTAAAGTACTCATTGCAGGTTTTTGGATGGTAACTTCGTTACACATCATCATGAGTAGCGCGTTTTAAGTCACTAGAGTATATGGATCATATCCTTTCCTAACGGCCTATTCTAATCATACGTGACATCAATTTGTTAGGACCCTAATGTTTTAAGGTAAACTAGTAACAAGTTTAGTTTTTGAAAGATTGTTTATTCATTAGGTCTGTGGGTAATTTTGAAATGACAATGTTTTGTTGTTGATATTAAGAAAGCATGATTTGTTCACGCATTCTTGGTACTGTTTAAAAAAATCACCCTCTTATGTAATTAAAAATTGGCTGTAAGGCATAGGATAAATTATTGATCTGAATATTCCTGATTAGAGAAGTAGGGTATCATAGTACTCATAAATGAATCGGCAGGTACGTGAAACTGTCCTGACAACATTTGTTGAAGCAGTATGCCGTTGACCTAGATATGCAACTAAAAGCCGCTGAAGCCGTTGCTCATTGAAGGTGGTCTACAGCGTAACACACAAATATGTACTCGAATGCTAGATTGCATCATCACACTAAATAACCTATATTTTGTAGATGTTTGTAATTTATGTTGTTTTGGTAATAGGCTTTCTATTCTTTTACATTTGTCTTTCATCTACCTCTCTATTACCAGAGGATTTGAATTGATCACCAAAGATACTGTCAAACAATTCAAACCCATTTCTGTACAGGCTTTATGGGCAGCATTTCAGGCTGTAAACAAAGCATGTCAAGTGGCTCGTGCTAACGCTTACTTCTGTCGTGGTTTCACTCATGATTGGGTCAATTATTATCACAGTTTACCAGCATCATCTACTCAACAGATACAAGAATGGCTTAGAACGGATGATACTGATGGATTTATTCAGTCATTATCTAGTTCTCCTCTCTCTGATAATGCAACTAATGAAGAGTAAGAATCTAGGATTACTGTTTTAATTCTATTCATGTTTTAACTGTATTATACACACTCTATATTAGTGATTTAATGAATGCTGCTATCATTCATTAGACGCTGAATGTTTTATCACGGTATATATACATTTGTACGTTATAGGGCCATGTTCTTATTATTTAATGGCAACATTTTACTAGAATAGTGGTCTATATGAGATTAGAAAGTAAATCTATTTGTGATACTCAAGTTAGTTCAGAGTTGTGTTATCCAGGGTTTCTAGTTTATAATCTTTCGTTTCCCTGAAGGTAATCAGTATTTTTCTATGACTGCAAAAACTAGCTTCGTCATTTGGTTTTACTCCCCAAAATTTTTTTCACTATATAATTCTGCAGATAAATATTTCCATTAAGTCGTAATGGAATAAAGATTTCGGTGGACAAATTTATTTTCAGTGATATCATCCTCTGCAATTGGATGTAATTAGTGTGCATAAAAATGCCAATATTTGTTAATCTATAATAGTAGTTTATTTGTGGCCACAAAAATAATATAGGAGTAGAAATTACGTAAAAAGTATGAAAATATTTGACAAGGTAAGTGTGAGTGGAAATCAAGCAGTTAAAAATTCATAATAAATTGGGTAGACAGTTGTCAATGACCAAGGTATTGAGAAATTTGTAATTGTGCTAAACAAGAATCGTTTACGCAATAACAATATGAAAAGTAAAAGATTAGTTAAGCTTGATAATTGGAAAGTTTAAGAATTAAGAATTGAGTAGAAATAGAGAATTGCACAGTTGTTTCTAAATACACAATCCTGGTTTCTATTATTGTATTTCCAGGGCTTCATCGGTGTAAAGTAAACATTTCCTCATACCCTTCGAAAGGCTGTTTTGTACTTTGAAGACTGCAAACGTATCTTCTGAAACTGTGTCCACTGTCCACCAAATGTAATATGTAGCTATTGATCTGCGTTGAACTTTACTGAGTCATGCCGGATGGTGTTGGCGTCGACGTTCAACAGTCTGTTTCTGAGTATGTACCTAACTCCCCAGGAGCAGGTGAATTGATATATGCACACTGAAGTAGTTAGTAGCAATAATAATATCAACAGTAGTTCATTCTCTTTTTACCTATCGGCTAAAATGAAATATCTTCATATTTTTATGCCACATACTTACAATAAGTATATATTTTCCGTGCACTAGAAATTATAACACCTATGATGTCTGTTGTCTTATAATGCTTATATCAAAAATGCAACACACACTGACTTACATTCATGCATCGTACATATCAGTGCACAACGACTAGCTGATAATCATACTGAAAAACGATGATGATACAGACAAAATTTTACAATGAGATGAACTACATGAATTTGACCTGTTATATATATCTGTGGTAATGTGATTTTTGATTATTTCCCCGAAGAAGCTCGAACCAGACTTCCTTATGAAACATTGGAACTGTCCGGTCAAATCTTGAACAGGATTCGTTTAGATTATTTAGTATAGGATTATAATCTGTTACAGTTGTATTCCCACTTCATTAGTTGACTCATTTCTCCTTGCGTGGTGACCTGCAATCCTTTTAAAAACTAGTTTTGTTCCTCTTATTGTTAAAGCAATCAAAAGCTGGGTAGGCAAACATAACCACCTTAGGTGTCTCAGTTGTAAAACTTCATTGAGTTAGCTGCTTTGCTTGACTTATAACTTCACTCCTGACTTCATTTCTGACCTAATGATCATACCGCTCAATTTCGATGTTTCGAACATATTTGTCATTAAACAGTCATACACTTAGCATGTCTTCCGCGTTGACAATCTATTCGTCATAACTCTATGGGGTTCGATAGACTATTACTGTGATCCTGGTACAATGAGGGGGCAAAAATGACTTAAATCTACAATGACTGGGTCTTCTTGATAACCACAAGCAGCGATAGTTGGAGGTGGGGGACAAGAAGATGATGACATAAGCACTAAACAGCATTGTCTAGTTACTGCAGTGTATAACAAAGACTAACCTTCTAAAGGTAATAGTGTTTAGCCCTGATGATGGCTAGAAAAAATTATTTTCGAAAGTAAACTGTCAGTACAGGCGGTTTCATCGTCAGGCACAATACTTTGAAAAAGGAGTTCAACTGAATTTTTTTATTCTCGTTTCATCTACAAACCAATGACATAAATCAGCATATTCATTGCTTATTTCCAAAAAGCAATTATTGCATGATTTTATAATTCTAGCAAGATATTTCTTTATGTCAAACACTTGTAAATTTGTTCAATAAGTCAGTGTACTGGTACCTATTATTTTATTCGATCCCTACGTAATTTCACATGATGAAAACATATCTTTATAAAACTAGAGTGAAACATAAAACAATCTATATGGCTTTTTTAAATATTTCCAATCTACCAAGACAATCTGTTACTCACAGTCTTGCTTGCAGACAGTTAGTGTTAAATACGATTTCAGTTATGTACGTAATTGATGTAGTTCTTTCACACCATCACGTGTATAATATACATTTGAATGGAAGCTGGAATATGATTGCCGTATCTGTTGGTATTCGTCAGGAAATTGTACGCATAATCTTTAGGAAAATTATACTCTCTCAGCGGATCAGGCTAGCGTACTGCTGAGGAATCCTAAACCTGTCAAATGCTTGAAGCTTTCAAGGGTTCTCAGTTTAACATTGATATGTAATAAAACAAAAAGTAATTGAAAACGGAAAAAAAGTAAACACAGATTACTTGTATATTCGGGTTTCACTATTGGTTATTGCAGAACCTGAAACAAAAATCAATAAACTCGACGCAGTCGTCATTATTTTTCGCATTTCTTCAACTGCATCGTCATGTATCCTAATACTGATATCTATGCTGTTACTTAGCTTCACATTTTACTGGGTTATATCTTAAAGTAGAATTAAAGTAACAGAATCGTGAAGTCACGATGTTCTAAACTAGTTCACAAGAAAATATTTGTGGTAAATGTGAATAAAATTAGCTGTAGTGGACCTCCTTGACAAGAACCAGTATAGATAGAGAAGACTATGCTTTCTTGGTTGTATTGTGTTCTCTGGGCTGGGTTGTTTAATCGTGAAGCTTTCATCGTCTTTCTAGACGACATCAGCACTCACTTCAGTTTGAGCAATCAGGTAGTACTGTTAGTCTAGTACATAGATATGTACAAGTTTAGATTACGTTATTTATCTTTATTACGTTTGATAGTGGAGTGATGCTCTTCTGGTTACTTTTTAGTTAATAGGCATTCGGCTGTTGGTTTACATTTTAAGTAATGTACAGTGTTAGAAAAAGGTATTCCTCTATCTTTTCGCTTTCAGTAGCAGTTTTCATCAGGGATTAACTGGCGTTAAATGTATAAATTGCGGCAAACGAACTGTTGAACAAGTATTAAATGCTTATTAGTGATTTCATCTATGAGATGGCTTTCATGAAGATCTTATGAGAAATGGTGATGTGTGGGGTCAGTCAAGTTGGAGGAAGAATCATATGCCCACCAATAACACTAGATGGTCGTCACTCTAAGTAATGGGTTGATAGAATCAGGGATGGGTGGACCAACTATATGGCTAAAGGGCAGATAACATACTGACTGTGAAACCTAACAGTCCTGGGTCTGATTCCCTTGCTGGGTTGTGCCTGCGCACTGTGGAGGGATCACCAACTACGAAGAAATAGTGGTCCACTACTTCCAGACTTTCAATGGTTCCCCGACTAATATCATTCACTAATGAAAGCTACTTTCAAAGCAATAAATCTGTGCAAACCAACAGTTGAATTACTTCTTACTTTTGTCAACAAATTTGTCAAGAGTTTATACTGTGTACTGAGTACACATTTACAGTGTTCATGATATTTTGTCACATAGCATGGCTTGATTTTCCTTGAGGTGGAGTTTTTCGGTCTAAGGATTACTTGAACAACCTGGCTTCCGTTCATCCTTACTCTCTCCTTCCTCCTGCACTCTCAGTCACTCTCACTTTTTTATTTCTAATATAACCTTTTATTGGAAATATTAAGTAGTCATTATCTAGGAAGTCATTTCACCAGTTTACCAGTCATATGGTTAACTACAAAGTGATTACTATCTCACATATTCCTCTTGTACGCTAAAATACACGTGATTGTTGTCGTCAATACGCATCTTACTGCATTCTTGTAAATGAAGCCATAACGCATATAATTTGCAGTTAGTCAACAACGGATTCAAACTACGCTGCAGCCAGCGATATTCTGATAACTAGGTAATATCTTAAAGCTTAACACAATAGGTATGGCTTAACAAATTAGTGCACGGATGCACACATGACTATCAGGTTAAATTATTATTAGTTTTGTGTTCTTCAGTTTCAATTTGTCATTATTATTGTTTGTTTTCAGAAAAGAATGTGCTAGAATGGAAGCATTGATTCGTGTGAAATTACAACAAATCATGTATACAGTTGACTTAGAAGAAGTGACTGTTCTTCAGGTATGTTATTATTTTCTATTCTTCATTGTGACAGTGTTAACAATTCCGTATTCAACGTGTTTACTTGATATATGACATAGTATTATTTACTGGATGACATTCCAAGCACAAATTATGTCTCATAATCGTATCAAGATAAAAACACAACTTTCTCTACCTGGGTTTTATTATTCTATCAGTGATAGTAAAATTTTCCACATCTCTGAAATAGATGCTGCATCACTCCTACTGCATATATTTGATGTTGGTTCTTTGAGCCAGGAATCAATCTGTCTCTCTCCCTGAACTGTATTAGCTTTCAGTAAAGCCACTTTTTTTCCCATTCTATTACATAATTATACACTATCACATACATTACAGTGAGGTTTTTGCTAGATTATTGATCTTAGTAAAGTCTACCATTCTACGCTTGTTTGAGTTCTCATGCTCTGATAATGTAACTGACCTCAATCTACTGGTCTGTTCTGTGTATTTGACCTGACAATTATTTCATGTTATTTGGTAGGTTAGATTCTTTTGTCTAGTTGTAGCGATAGGATTCTTTGTATATGTTCACATGAATTTACGAATTAATGCGGGAGGGTAATAGTGTCTTCTTCATATGTTTTAATTGCTTATTTATTTCCTATGGTTCATTGGCGAGTTTTCTAGCCCTATTAATTAAACACTTTAATAAACTTAATTTATATTGGTTGCCACGACCTGGTAAAGTGTATTGGTTTTTCATAGATACTGATGTCTAAGCTAAAAAATTTCCTCTGTTTTATTTCGCTATCTAACATAACTAATTCCACTTTTTCGAGTAAAGTGAAGTGGCTTCCTACGATTCGTCTCCAGTTAACCAGCACAAGACATTACATTGTAATGTACTGAGATTTAAATCACTTATGAGAAAGAAAATCACACCAAAGAATAAGTGTAGTTATAGGAACAGTTGGCGTCCTTGAATACTTTGGTGATAAGTACCAAAGGAAATTTTCATTGCAGTACTGTCACAGAAAAACCGTTATAACTTTCAATGATTCGGACTGTAATGTCTCTCTACAGAATATTTTTCTACTATCCCTATATCAAACGCCTACTGGGTACGCTTAGTAAGGCTGTATTATAACCTCAAAGAATTGGTGTGCGTTGAAAACGTCTACTTCACTAGTTTTTATGTATACTGGAATCATTGGGAAAGCTAAGAGGACAAAGTACTGAATTACTGTTCAATGACGGTTTACAATCATAACCTCCTACAACTTTCATCTATTTCTGAGGTGACGTTCAAATTCTGACCGCTGCATAAACGTATCATCCACTAATTATATACTAGTTTGCACTCTCTTGTAAAACGCACATATTTCCTATTACTATTCAGTTTTCAAAATCTTGATAGTTTAGAAGGTATTTAATCCTGGGACTCAGTTGTTGGTAGCTAGGTGCCCAGACTACGTGATGTATGATGATGGTTTTTCGAGAATTTCACGGATCTTAAGCTTCTCCAAAAGATCTGAACAATCATTATCGACATCATAACATTATTTAACTCTGAGGTGCACTCATTGTATTCATATCTCGCATAAAGAATGCTATCATTGGGTCATATAATTATGATCTAGTGATCGGAAATGTTGAAATTCAGTTGAATAATAATTCTAGGGTTATTTTCAGGTAGTTGTCCTTACCGTGAACTTTTTTGACCCTGTAGACCAGTAATAAACCATCCGTATGTGATAGATTTGAGTTAAAGGTCGTTATTAATGCAGAATTATTTTGCTGAGGTATAAAAGCTAATGAGATATATAGAGTGAGTATTGTATTACAAATTTGACTATGGATATCATAGATCTATCTTCAAAACCTAAGAAATCCTCTGCGTACTGATGATCAAACCTATTAGATAAAAATTGCTAAGTATAACTTTTAAAAATTTTCCCCACTAGTTAATCAAGCCTAAAATGAATATTTTACTGAAGAGAAGATAAGATGTCTCCCCTCAAAAATTATAGGAAACCAACATGAAAGGGCAGTGTACATACTTTCGGAAAGAAAAACAAAATTCATTCACTATCTTGTACAATGAAATGAGTTTGCACTAAAAAAAAACAACCTGATTGATGGTGAACTAGAAAGACTGTCAACAACTCAATGATTACGAGTGATTTTAAAGGTGACCGTAGCAACAGCTAGATTAACCAATTATGAAATAAAAAAACCAATCGAAATACAGAAACCTAAGTGGTTATTTCACTTGTTGCTAGAGTGGCATTTAAACTCACTCATGATTACTGTTGTAGAAGCATTCAAAGAAAGACCTACTGAACAACTTTCAACAGTTCTGAAAAGAAATCCTGTTTATAGATGTAAACTTCAAAGATGATAAATCAACAGAAATTCTGAAGAACGGATTTTCTAGATCTTTGAGAATGGTATTTTTCCCGAAAATTAATAAGTGGACGCCTCAAGGGTCACTTCAATGTGTATATAAAAGTTAACTTGCTCCCATGGAGCTGGTTTACATTGGTTGTACAATGTATGATCTCCTCAAATGTATTTCAGAGGATTAACAAAATGATAAAGGTCTAAATCAATAAATAATTTGATACTTGAACATCCAGTTAGTTCTAATAACAGAGTTTCACAAGAGCAATCTTTTTCTATGAACTAAAAATTCAAAGGAGTGTGGTATCATAGTCCTGTGTACAGCGGAGGCATTGGTGACTTACCAATTCAAACCTAATCTCTGTGTGATGAAAATACATGTGCACATTCTGATTTTGTATTGGTCTTAACCCCAATTACTTTCTATTTCTTCATTTTTATCATTACTAATTATCCTCTTATTATCACATGATCCTCCTTGCTTCTTCCTGCACCTTTTCTTCTGTTCATTGAACACCTAAGGCACGTACTTCATATCTGGCTACATTCTGTGCTTCTCTTACTATTCTCATTATAAAATATAAGATTATGCTTTTGAAGTAATCTGCAAATACTGCTGGTTTAATGATAGGGAGTGAAGTGGCAAAGTGCATGAACCACTTCACTTGGGGAGTTGCATCCACCCAAACGTGGTTGTTGCTGACGAAATATCACCTCGGATACACAAGGGTTGTTTGACATTTGCTAAGTTGCATCATCTCTGGGATCGACTGGTGAAATATCCGACTAAATATTGAGGGATAAGTATTCTGCACTGCAGTTCGTTCTGTCCTGTTATATGCCCATGAGATATGACCGTTGAAAGTAGGAAGAATGAAGCAATTATGAGTTTATCATCACACTTTTCTTCGTAGCATTACTCGCGTTTGGTGGAATCATCATCTTGGCAATGTAGACGTTGAGCTAAATGACTGAATTGTCTTGAACATATGCTGCACATATGGAGCCACCATGCTAGTGGGAGTTGGGATTAGGTTGAAAGAGGGTTCAAGGTGACCAGACTAAGGTCTGATATCAGTCAATGAAGTCTCTTACTGTTGATCTGAGTCGTTTAGGGAGATATAGATTGTCTGACTGGGGTCCTCGAGACTACAGGAATCAGTGGTTGAGGAATATTGATGAAATGGCTGGAAATCGGTCACACAATATCTCAGATGTATATTCACCCTTTCATATCTTATAAAGCTTGAGTGTTTTGACTAGGCTTAATTTTTTTGAATTCTCTCCCCTTCCATACACCTTTGTTTGCTTTGATATCATTTTTTCTATCCACTTTTTCTTTGTATACTGCTGTGAAGTGTGATTGGTAACTTGAACCTATGCACTTGTATGCAAGGTTCTGCGTTGATTTTGTCTACCTTCATTTACTTACTCTAATCATTTGTGCATATACACTCCTATTTCAGTTCTTTCTTCTGGTATTACTCTATTAATGCAATCTCAGTCTATTATTATTATTATTATTATTATTATTATTATTATTTTCCAGCTATATAAAGACGATTATACAGCTTAGGTAATTGATATCGTTAAGAAGGAAATTTTGTCGTCATTGAATTGTATTCTTCCGCCTAAATTCGTTTTCACAATCTTCACTAAGAAAATGTAACTCAGTTCAGTCATTTAATTACTTAATTCAACAACGCTATTCACATAAATCTGAGTAAAGCAAGGAGAATAATAGTAGTAGAATTAGTATTTCGTAGATTCTCCTCACCTGCTTTACAACCTATAGAGAACATGATGTTGATGGTGAACAGTATGTTATACAATATACTTTAATAACTCGACAAGAATTCAACTTGAAATGAAAATATCCTGAAGAATTTTTGAGTCCTAAGGGCTTATAAAGTTTAAATAGTGCCATCGCCTAACATTTGCTTGATACTGGATAAAAAGTCGACCTATTAATGTCATTCAAAGTGATGAATAACCAACGGAAATCCACTATTTTACGGTTTGCTGAAACAGTTGGAATTAAATGACTCGAACTTAACCCATGTATTCAGAAAGACACAACTGTCAATCTTGCATTACCTTGGTAATTTTAGTCTCTTAAATTTGTGAGTACAACGTTTCATGACCCTTAGTTGCTTTTTTTTATTGCACTTTGTTTTTCGACCTATTTCAAGACCTACTGTCACTCTCTGAGTTGTATTTGTCTTATTGCTCAATATAGTGAAAACCTGGTGACCTTTTATTAGGCTTACTTTTATATGTATGTTTGAATAATACAACAACAAAGACATTTACGGAATAAAATGAGCGCATTTTATTTCATGCCTTTCTTCAGCTGCAAACATTTTACAACTGAAATGGAGTATTACTGCTAATAATGGCATAACGTACTTTAAATATGTAGAAATAAATGGAGATTTGAAATCCAGGATTAACAATGAGTGAGTGAGTGAGTGAGTGAGTGAGTTGCAGAGTGAGTGAGTGAGTGAGTGAGTGAGTGAGTGAGTGAGTGAGTGAGTGAGTGAGTGAGTGAGTGAGTGAGTGAGTGAGTGAGTGAGTGAGTGAGTGAGTGAGTGAGTGAGTGAGTGAGTGAGTGAGTGAGTGAGTGAGTGAGT